CATGAAACGAGGGGTTAATACGGTAATCAGGGGGAAGTAATAACCTATAGGTGACCTCGTTGATTCTCCTCAGGACTTTGAATGTCCCCACAAAACGCAGGCTCAGCTTCCAGCAGGGCAGGCGGAGGGGCAGATTCCGGGTCGAGAGCCAGACCCGATCCCCCAGTACGAAGACTGGGGCCTCACTGCAGTGGCGATCAGCATTGGCCTTCTGCTGACGCACGGCGTGTTGGAGGTGAACATGGGCAGCATCCCACATCTCCTCTGCATGCTGAAACTAGTCATCCACCGCAGGAGCCTCGGTCTGGCTCTGCTGCCACGGTGCCAGAACCAGTTGGTAACCTAAAACACATTGGAATGGCGTTAGATTAGTAGAGGAATAGCAGAGAGAGTTCTGGGCATATTTTACCCATGGCAAGAACACCGACCACTCCCCCGGCCGGTCCTGGCAGTAGGACCGCAGGAACCTACCCACATCCTGATTTACCCGTTCCACCTGCCCATTAGACTCGGGGTGGAACCCAGAGGTCAGGCTGACCGAGACCTTCCAGACTTTGGATGTGAACTGGGGACCTCGGTCAGACACTATATCCTCTGGTACCTCGTAGTGCTGGAAGATGTGTGTAAATAGGGCCTCCGCAGTTTGCAGGGCCTTGGGGAGACCGGGCAGAGGAAGGAGGCGGCAGGCCTTTGAAAAGCGGTCCACAACGACCAGGATGGTGGTGTTACCTTGGGAGAGGAGAAGATCAGTCAGGAAATCAACACTTAGGTGAGACCATGGTCATTGTGGAATTGGTAAAGGTTGTAACTTACCCGCTGGGAGGTGCCTAGGTGCCTTACTCTGGGTGCACACCGAGCAGGAGGAGACATACACCCTCATGTCCTTAGCCAAGTACTTTCCGGTCAGGCAGCGCACTGTACGACTGATACCTGGGTGACCAGAGGAAGGTGACGTGTGTGCCCAGAAGATCAGACGATCACGGATAAGAGCAGGCACGTACCAAAGCCCAGCTGGACACTGCGGTGGAGATGGATCTGTGCGGAATTTACATTTACATTTTACATTTTAGTCATTTAGCAGACGCTCTTATCCAGAGCGACTTACAGTTAGTGAGTGCATACATTTTCATACTGGCCCCCCTGAGTAATGCCTGCTTTATATCTGCGTCCATCGCCCATTCTACCGGCGCCACAATGCAGGAAGCCAGGAGTATGGGGGTGTTGTCTCTGGGCCTCTCCTCTGTGTCATACAGCCGGGACAATGCGTCTGCCTTCACGTTCTTCGTACCCGGGATGTATGACACTGAAAAATCAAACCGGGTGAAGGATAGGGCCCACCTGGCCTGGCGAGGATTCAGCCTCCTCGCTGCCCGGATGTACTCCAGGTTACGGTGGTCCGTCCAGACGAGGAAAGGGAGTTTCGCCCCTTCGAGCCAATGCCTCCACACGGTCAAGCCTCGGACAACAGCCAACAGCTCCCGATCACCAACGTCGTAGTTCTGCTCCGCCGGGCTGAGCTTCTCAAGGAAGAAGGCACAGGGGCGGAGCTTGGGTGGCATGCCCGAGCATTGAGATAGGACAGCGCCTATCCCTACCTCGGACGCATCCACCTCCACTACGAATGGTAGTGATGGATCGGGGTGGGCCAGTACCGGGGCTGAGGTGAACAAACCCCTCTGTTTCCTGAAGGCCAGGTCAGCCTCAGCAGACCAGCGGAGCCGGGACGGCCCACCCTTCAACAGATGTGAGCTGCGACCTTGCCAAAGCCCCGGTTAAACCTCAGATAGTAGTTGGCAAATCCCAGAAAGTGGTGCACCTCCTTAACCGTGGTGGGAGTCGGCCAATTACACACGGCTGAAATGCGATCCCCCTCCATCGCCACACCTGAGGTGATAATGCGGTATCCGATGAAGGAGATGGACTGCTGGAAAAACATACACTTCTCTGCCTTGGCATAAAGGTCATTTTCGAACAGTCAGGCCAGCACTTTGCGAACCACTTGGCGCGCGTAGCGGAATACACCAGAATGTCATCGATGTAGACCACTACACCGCGACCAAGCATGTCCCGAAACACCTCGTTCACAAAGGACTGGAAGACAGATTGAGCATTCATCAAACCGTAGGGCATCACCAGGTATTCATAATGCCCTGTGGTTGTGCTGAATGCTGTCTTCCACTAATCCCCCTCTCGATCACGCACCAGGTTGTACGCACTCCTGAGATCTAATTTGGTGAAGACGCGTGCCCCATGCATTGACTAGATCACTGACGGAATGAGGGGGAGAGGATAACTAAATCTTACCGTCTCCTTGTTCAGTGGTCGATAATCAATGCAAGGGTGCAGACCACCGTCTTTCTTATTCACAAAGAAGATTCTCGAGGAGGCGGGTGAAGTGGAGGGACGTATATACCCCTGGCGCAGGGACTCTGCGACGTATGTTTCCATAGCCGCCATTTCAGCCTGCGACAGGGGGTACACATGACTCCTGGGAAGTACAGCATTTACCCGGAAGTTTATCGCGCAATCCCCTGCCCGATGAGGTGGTAACTTAGTAGCCTGCATTGTAGAGAACGTGTGCGCCAAATCGAGGTATTCGGGGGGAATGCGCACGGTGGAGGTACTGTCTGGACTTTCCACCATGGTTGCACCAATGGAAACACCTTGACACCTACCCTGACACTCTCGCGACCACACCGTGAGAACCCTCTGTGGCCATGAGAAGGTGGGGTTGTGGAGTGCTAACCAAGGGAGACCTAATACCACAGGGAAAGCAGGAGACTCAATAATATAAAAAGACACCTGCTCACAATGAGTCTCCTGGATAATCATGGTGACTGGTGCAGTAACCCCCTTAACAAACCCGGACCCTAATGGTCGACTATCAAGTGCTCTGATGGGGAATGGGATGGATAGTGGAACCAATGAAATGCCTAGCCGGTGTGAGAATGCCCTGTCCATAAAGTTCCCAGCTGCGCCTGAATCGACTAGCGCCTTACACTGGGGAACTACCATGTGATCGGGAAAGTAGATGGGTAGGGTACAGTGTGCAGCAGAGGGCTCTGAACGAGTGTGGGTGTTCGATACCTGGGGTGATGCGAGAGTGCCGCCTCCAGACCCAAAAGAGCGCAAACGACAACGTGTGGTATACTGTCCCTTCGTGCCACCAGTGTGACACTGTCGCTGTCGTCCTCCGCTCTCTCGGATGGCGGTTCCACCAAGCTCCATCGGCTCGGGATCCGAGTCTGCCTGGGTGAGAACAAGCAGACCCCTTCCAGGACGTCCTCTGGCTGCCAGCAGGTTGTCCAAATGAATGGCCATGTCCACCAGTTGCGCGAAGGACAACATGGTGTCCCGGCAGGCTAGCTCCCGTTGGACATCCTCCCGCAGATGGCACCGGAAATGGTCGATAAGGTCCCGCTCACTCCACCCGGACCCCGCTGCCAGAGTCCGAAACTCCAAAGCGAAGTCCTGCGCGGTCCTCGTCCCCAGCCTGAGGTGGACCAGCCGCTCGCACTCCTCTCCACCTTCGGGCGGGTGATCAAAGACCACCCGAAAGAGACGAGCGAACTCCCCGTAGTTCTCCAACGCTGCTCCTCCTTCGTTTCACACCGCGTTGGCCCACTCCAGCGCTTTCCCCGAGAGGCAGGAGACGAGGGCGGACACCTTCTCCCGTTCCAATGGGGCCAGCCTGATGCTGCAAAATAGAGCTCCAGTTGGAGGAGGAATCCTTGGCAGAGAGCCGCCGTCCCGTCGAACTCCCGTTGTCTGGATATCTGGATCCCTCCGGGTGCTGGGGTGTGGGTGGCTGGATCAGGTTGGCCAGCTGGTCTCGACAGATCGGGTCCTCTCCTCTCCAGGCGTTGGACGACCTGAAGAACCTGATCCATCGCTTCCCCCAAGCTGGCCAGCATCGTGGAATGCTCCTGGACCCGTGCCACGACTCCAGGCATGCGCTCCTCTCCCGCTGACTCCATAGTGACGGGTGGGTGATTCTGTGAGAGTGTGATTTGAAGGAGTCAGGCGCAGGAAGGAAAATCACAGAATACAGAGTTTATTCTGTAGGACACAGTTACGCTGGATAGCGTTAACAGCACAGTGCGTAATACAGGCGCACTGGAACACAATACAGGCACACGGGGACAAATAATCCCGGCAATACAAAGTACGGGTAGCTCAACCGAGCTACACTCATCATCACATAAAACAATCACCCACAAGGACAAGGGGGCAGAGGGAACACTTATACACAGACTAATGAGGGGATAATAACCAGATGTGTGTAATTGACAAGACAAGACAAATGGAATGATGATATATGGAGCGGCAGTGGCTAGTAGGCCGGTGACGACGAACGCCGAAACCTGCCCGAAAAAGGAGGGTAGGCAGCCTCGGCGGAACTCGTGACACTAATGTACCCAGTCTGCATGGGAAGCAGGGAGATCGTAAAAAGCTAAGGGATCACCCAGAAAATACAGGCTGCGAGAACATTTAATTTTGTCACTAATAATACATTGTATGTTATTATGAATGGGGAAAAAAAGTATTGCACTTTTGGGCAGGAAAAGAGAAGGTGAACCAGAGAGCCAAAGATAAAGATCAGATCACTCTCCCTGGATCTGATAAAGATCACCCTCCCTGCATCTGATGAAGATCACTCTCCCTGCATCTGATGAAGATCACTCTCCCTGCATCTCCAACACTCTGGACTAGAAAGCCTGCATCTGATGAAGATCACTCTCCCTGCATCTCCAACACTCTGGACTAGAAAGCCTGCATCTGATGAAGATCACTCTCCCTGCATCTGATGAAGATCACTCTCCCTGCATCTCCAACACTCTGGACTAGAAAGCCTGCATCTGATAAAGTTACTCCAAGGCAGCTTGAACAGTAAGTTAGTGAGGAGAACATCTTTATATTGTCAACATCCAAAAGCAGACTTCTATGTGTTTTGGAATGAAATAAGGCAACTGTATAAAATATGTAGTATTTTTGACTCAGCTCTTTAGCAGGTTAGCCTGTGAAATGCTGTTGTTGCCTGCTTGGCCGATCACTGCCGCCACGATGGGCCTCTTGGTCTTGAGAAACTGGGGTCTCCAGCGGTAGAGGCCAAGGACTGCCTGGTGGAACCTGTCTCCAGCCAGTGTGTACAGAGTCAGGTTGAAGAAGGTGTTGAGCCCTGGAGATGGTATAAACTGCATTATAAACTGTGTGGTTCGAGCCCTGAATGCTGATTAGCTGAATGCCATGGTATATCAGACCATATATCATGGGTATGAAAAAACATTTATTTTACTGCCCTAAACCAGTTTATAATAGCAATAAGGCTCCTCTGGTGTTTGTGGTATATTGACAATATACCACGGCTAAGGGCTGTACCCAGGAACTCCACTTTGCGTCGCGCATAAGAACAGCCCTTAGCCGTGGCATATTTGCCATATACCACGACCCCCCTCAGCAGTATACAGGGCACCAGTCTTTGGGCTTCCGTCCAGGTATACACCCGCAGGGCACGGAGGACGGGGAAGGGGTTGAAGAACATAAAAAACACAACCAGGATCAGCACAGCCAGCCTGTGGGCACTTACCCGGCTTTGACGGCCTTGGTGGGGCCCACCGGCCAGCTCACATGCAACACGTGTGTAGCTCAGGCACACCACCACTAGGGGGAGTAGGTAGCCCAGGACTGTGAGTAGCCAGCCATAAACCCACACCTCTTCTGGGTCAAAATCCAGACATGACCGTCATTATAAATAAGAATGTGTTCTAAATAAACGATGTCATATTGTTCTCAGTCTTCTCCACAGTGATCATGTAGACCATGGGTGTAAGCTTCAACACAGATATGAACCACACAGGCGATGACACCCCAGCTCTTCCTCTGTACCAATGCTGCCCTCAGTGGGTGGACCACCACCACATAGCGGAACTCACTCAGGCAGGTGAGGAAGAGGATGCTGCCGTACAGGTTGAAGTGGAAGCTAAAGCAGACAATGCAACACATGACGTCGCCCACGATCCAGTCGTCATGGATGTAGTAGTGGACCAGGAAGGGCAGACTCAGAACGTACAGGAGGTCTGCCAAGGCAAGGTTCACCATGATGATGCTGCTGCTCTTCCATGGCCACAACCTGACCACGTAGATGATGATTGAGGTGACGTTTCCCACAAGCCCCACTACAAAGATGATCGCATACATGACCTTGAGATAGTATCTCCTACTGTACTCATCAACTGGGAAACAGTCAGGAGCCTCCTAGTTCAATTTGTTGTGATATCCAACAAATTGACCTAAGACACAAGTAGAGAGACAATTTGTGTATAATGTTATCCCATTAGAAAATGACAGCTTTAATTCATCTATGTGGGATAATAATATGTATATTCCCACCATAAGCTGTGGTGTTGCTCCAGTATCCTTGTGTCACTCCTGAATTTCCTGAATCTTCAGGCAGCAGTCAGTTTTAAGAGCATCCCAGAGCCCTCCCACACAGAATGGGTACCACTGCCACCCCTCATCTCCTCAACAGGGTGCATAAAGAATCACACAGCAAATTGTAACTGGTTTAAAGGTCTCAAAGGTGTGCTCAAACGAAGCAGTTTTGCATTTTATATCACTTGCACTTCTAGGGGCCTTATCAAAGGCTTCCAAACTGACAGTGACCACAGCGCAAGACAGACCAAACGACATGGCAAATACTCAACCATTAAAGGTTTGAGACTTGCTGCCACTGTCCCCTATGCACATTACATTTTGTTTGTGGCACTACTACCACATATCAGTTAAATTGGTACATCACTTTCACTAACAGGTGGCACAAATGTAGCCTATTACAAGGCACGCCCCAAAATATTTAAATTAGCCAGAAACAACAATACGGTGCCACCACTAGTGGTAATATTACTTGTAATTTAGTAAATCATATAAATGTTTTACACACCTTGTTTGGTTGGTTCCCTTCAGACCTTGATGCCTCTATCCTATCGCTGTACGGTTACAGTGATGTACTGTTAAACCAAAGTTTCTTTGGAATTTATGGTATCATTTACTGTTTACGGTTAAAATCACCCAGAGTGCATTGCCTTTTAAGGCAATTTACTGTAAATAATGAATACGGTACTTTACTGTTAGTTTTATTGTATAATACTGTAAAAACAACAAGAACGTTTCACTCAGTACTAATGAAATCAAAATAGTCCAACTTACTTTTACATGTTTTATTGCCGATGCACAAGTGCTAAACTGTAGTTGTTCTTTAAGCAATGCATGCAGTATTGGGATTTGAGAATCAGACTTCCCCGATCCTACATACCTGGAAGATGTGCCATGTATCCATCTGCTTGACCAAGGACACAAGTGGCAGACATACTCCAACTCCAAGTTATTGTTCAACTAATAACCACACACTAATGATCACAAAGAATGTCCTTTCATTTCCTTATTAGAATTCCACAGAAACAAAGCCAACAATTGTCAGATGAATTGTCCCTCGACACAAAAGGAATAGTGATGGGACATTCCTCTGGGCCATTTCAATGACATTTTATAATAGAACGTAAACTTCCAAATAGCTTGATAGAAAACGTTCCACAGTGATTATGAATGATTCTCCAGTGGTGGTCTAGTTTCTCATGTATCCCTAAAAAACTAACAGGAGGAGCATGACATCTAGCGGCCATAAGCTGAAATTGCATCTGTTTGCAATATAATTGATACAGTATTATTTACATTTTAGTCATTTAGCAGATGCTCTTATCCAGAGCGACTTACAGTTAGTGAATACATATTTTCTTTATACTGGCCCCTCGTGGGAATCGAACCCACAACCCTGGTGTTGCAAACGCAATGCTTTATCAACTGAGCTACATCCCTGCCGGCCATTCCCTCCCCTACCCTGGACGACGCTGGGCCAATTGTGCGCCGCCCATGAGTCTCCCGGTCACGGCCGGCGGCGACAGAGCCTGGATTTGAACCAGGATCTCTAGTGGCACAGTCTTAGACCACTGCGCCACTCAGGAGTATTAGGATAATATTTTGATATTTTGAATACACTAAGCCAAAATATATTTTATTTAGTTGTTTTTTAAATTAATTTTCAGTCAAGCTATTAAGTCCGTCCCAACCCATTTATGTCAGTGCCTTATTTTCTTGCAATAATAAAGTATAATGCAAAATTACATCTACGTCTGACGCGTGGGCAAAATTCTGAGGTTATCGTTGACTACATTTTCAACAGTTTTTAACCATATTCACTATACAAGTTTAACAAATATATTGTTGTCAACTTGTCAATAAGAAAGTGGTCATTTTTTTTACCACTAGATGGGGCATAACATCAGAAACTGATTCTAAAGAGAAAAGTACTGTAATTGTATTGAAGTTTATAGAATTAATATTATGTTAAAACTTGACAGTATAATAAAATCATATCTTGTTTTTTCCTCTCATCTGGGCAGTATCAAACAGTATGAGATAGACAGTGAAGATGAGGAAGTGTGTATCACAGACAATGACCAGTAGGTAGATGTATGAAGTGATTTTCATGGCTGTGCAGACTGGCACCGACAAGTGTAGGAGGAATGTGCAAACTGGCCAGCCATCACTTTCACATTGACCTTCTCACCACGTTGGCTCAGGATAAATGAGAAAGTCCGATACGCAAACTGGAGAGGTGCTGTCTCTCTCTTTTCCTGTTTCTGTTTCTACGTGCAGTACTTCTTCCCTCATCTCTAGCAGTCTGTGTATCTCACTCTCATTCTCTCACACAAACGAACACAAGGACGCAAATGGGTTTGAATAGACTTCATAGGACCTTACCCTTTAATCCAGTCATTTTGTCTCAGAGTTGTATTGCTTTAATTGTATTGCTTAAAAAAAAAAAAAAAAAAAAAAAAAAAAAAAAAAATTCTTAGGACTTATTGATTTAGCACATCGACTGTAAACATTTTCAGCAACTGAACTGAGAGAAATAATGGTCAAGTCCAAAGACATCCAGCACAGCTGTGACTTCTGTTGGAATAGAGAGTGCCTCAGGGTTGCTGCTATACTTCAATAAAACATATCCAGACTGTGTAGTGTAGGCTACTATCGTACTAGTATTAACAAATGACGTAAATAATAATAATAATAATAATAATAATACATTTGCGTTGGTATGCGTGGATGCCAGAGAAGGTTGGTAATCATCATTATTATGGTAGGAAAAGGTTTAGAATAACCACTCTTTCAAAAATATGTTATGATAATAATTGTTTTTCAACATTTAATGACAATAATGTATTGATTGACTATTTTAAAATGTTTTATCTTATAAATTAGCTTATAGATTCCAACATAGCACACAGAGGAGGATAAATCAGTTTGATGCCTCAACAAGGTCAAAGGGTAACCCAAGGGTGGCTGTTTTCACGCTCATACTCTCTCTTCCATATCTCAGTCTGTTTGACCAGCCTGGTCAGTGACATTTCTCCAGTCTAGAAGGGAGCAAGTTGGTGACCTTTCCAAACACAGCTCTATGACATCTCTGCTTCATTATTTTGAAGGGGATAGTCAATGACAACATCAAAGATTGGACCTCTCCTGGTGGTCAATATTTAACCTCAAAGCTACATAAAATAATGTGCAATCTGAATCAAAAGTTTAATTTAGCTGACTCAGTTTAATTTAGCTATCCTTCTCAGAGACTGACCCAGTTTAATTTAGCTATCCTTCTCAGAGACTGACCCAGTTTAATTTAGCTATCCTTCTCAGAGACTGATCCAGTTTAATTTAGCTATCCTTCTCAGAGACTGACCCAGTTTAATTTAGCTATCCTTCTCAGAGACTGACCCCGTTTAATTTAGCTATCCTTCTCAGAGACTGACCCAGTTTAATTTAGCTATCCTTCTCAGAGACTGACCCAGTTTAATTGAGCTATCCTTCTCATAGACTGACCCAGTTTAATTTAGCTATCCTTCTCAGAGACTGACCCAGTTTAATTTAGCTATCCTTCTCAGAGACTGACTCAGTTTAATTTAGCTATCCTTCTCAGAGACTGACCCAGTTTAATTTAGCTATCCTTCTCAGAGACTGACCCAGTTTAACTTAGCTATCCTTCTCAGAGACTGACCCAGTTTAATTTAGCTATCCTTCTCAGAGACTGACCCAGTTTAATTTAGCTATCCTTCTCAGAGACTGACCCAGTTTAATTTAGCTATCCTTCTCAGAGACTGACCCAGTTTAATTGAGCTATCCTTCTCAGAGACTGACCCAGTTTAATTGAGCTATCCTTCTCAGAGACTGACCCAGTTTAATTTAGCTATCCTTCTCAGAGACTGACCCAGTTTAATTTAGCTATCCTTCTCAGAGACTGACCCAGTTTAATTTAGCTATCCTTCTCAGAGACTGACCCAGTTTAATTTAGCTATCCTTCTCAGAGACTGACTCAGTTTAATTTAGCTATCCTTCTCAGAGACTGACCCAGTTTAATTTAGCTATCCTTCTCAGAGACTGATCCAGTTTAATTTAGCTATCCTTCTCAGAGACTGACCCAGTTTAATTTAGCTATCCTTCTCAGAGACTGACCCAGTTTAATTTAGCTATCCTTCTCAGAGACTGACCCAGTTTAATTGAGCAATCCTTCTCAGAGACTGACCCAGTTTAATTTAGCTATCCTTCTCAGAGACTGACCCAGTTTAATTTAGCTATCCTTCTCAGAGACTGACCCAGTTTAATTTAGCTATCCTTCTCAGAGACTGACCCAGTTTAATTTAGCTATCCTTCTCAGAGACTGACTCAGTTTAATTTAGCTATCCTTCTCAGAGACTGACCCAGTTTAATTTAGCTATCCTTCTCAGAGACTGACCCAGTTTAATTTAGCTATCCTTCTCAGAGACTGACCCAGTTTAATTTAGCTATCCTTCTCAGAGACTGACCCAGTTTAATTTAGCTATCCTTCTCAGAGACTGACCCAGTTTAATTTAGCTATCCTTCTCAGAGACTGACCCAGTTTAATTTAGCTATCCTTCTCAGAGACTGACCCAGTTTAATTTAGCTATCCTTCTCAGAGACTGACCCAGTTTAATTTAGCTATCCTTCTCAGAGACTGACCCAGTTTAATTTAGCTATCCTTCTCAGAGACTGACCCAGTTTAATTGAGCTATCCTTCTCAGAGACTGACCCAGTTTAATTTAGCTATCCTTCTCAGAGACTGACCCAGTTTAATTTAGCTATCCTTCTCAGAGACTGACCCAGT